CCTGCTTTCTTATGCAACACAGGCCCACCTGCCCAGGGGTGGCACCACCCACAGTGGGCTGGCCCCTCCCACAGCACTCATCAAGAAGATGCCCCTCAGACATGGCCATAGGCCAGTCCAATAGAGGAAATTCCCCAATTGAGGCTCCCTCAACCCAGGTGTGTCAAGTTGACACTAAAGCTATCCAGCACAGGGTTTTTTTTTGTTGTTGTTGTTGTTATTTTTTAACTCTAATTATCTTCAAGCTTAACAAACAAAAAGCTACAGCTGGATATGGTGACATCCTGGATCCCCCAGCATTTAGGAGGTTGAGGCAGGAAGGTTAGGAGTTCCAAGATATCCTGGGCTACATAGGGAGTTTGAGGCTACCCTGGGGTTTATAAGACATTGTCTCAAAAAAAATAAATCCAAAGCAGACCTAATGTCCTCACATTCCTGTAATTGCTGCCTTCTAGGGTGAAGTTCCAAGGTGTTGGATTCAAGTCCAGTCTGGGCTCTATAGCAAGTTTGAGGCCAGGCTGGGATATGGTAATGAGCCTTAGGGCATTCTGGGCCACATAGCACAAAAAATGAAGCAAAACAGGATAATATTCTAAAGCTCTTTAACAGTGTACTTCGAGAATGTAGTGTAAAGAGAAAGTAATTTAAATTCATGAATCAAAGGAAGGCTTTTCAGGAGTGGTTAAAGTTAATTGGAGCCAGAATTTGGGAATTCATGAGGCGCGTGCGTGCGTGCATGCGTGCGTGCAGTATTAGAGGTTGAACCTAGAGCCTAGGTCTTGCTGCAAAAATCAGTAATATAATGGCTAACATCTACCAGTTGTTTACTATATGCTGGATACTATCCCAAGTGCTCAAATGCTTCATATGCATAGCATTTGTGTTTGCAATGGATTTAAGAAATAGACATAATTGTAGACTCTGCTAGGAGTGTGTAGCTCAGTGATAGAGGGTTTTCCTAGCATGCTTGAGGACTTCTGTTTAATCCCCAGCACTGGAGAAAGTAAGTTGTACTCAGATTCCTACTTACAGGCATTGGGGCAAAGGGAAATAAAATAATTTGCCTAAAAAAATAAAAAATAAAGCAGGGCATGATGGTACATGCCTTTAATTCCAGCATTTGGGAGAGGCAGGTGAGTTTGAGGCCATCCTGGTCTACATAATGAGTTCCAGGCTAGCTGGGGCTACAGAGAGACCCTGCCTCAAAAAGACCAAAATAAATAAATAAAAACAAAATAAAACAAAATAATTTAAAAATTGCCTAAAATTTACTTATACTGAGTAATAGATTAGAGATACGAAGCTAGCTAATGTGTTTCAGGATTGTTTTATTTTTTTTTTTTTTTTAGTTTTATTTTTTTATTTTAGATTTTATTTATTTTTCTTTTATGTGTTTGAGTGTATTGCCTGCATGTATGTGAGTGCACGCATGTCATGCAGTGCTGTGGCGGTCAGAAGAGGGTGTCGGATTCCCCTGGAATGGGAGTTAAGGATGGTTCGTAGACGCCATGTGGGTGCTGGGAATTGAATCTGGGTCCTTTGCAAGAGCAGTCAGTGCTCTTAACTTCTGAGCCATCTCTCCAGCCCCTTATTTATTATTTTTATGTTATGTGTATGAGTGTTATGCCTGCATGGAGGTATGTGCACCTGTGTCGTGCAATCGTCCAATGCCAGCGGAAGGCAAGAGGCCATCGGATCCCCTGGAACTGGAGTTATGGACAGTTGTTAGCTGCCCTGTGGGTGCTGGGATTTGAACCCGGGTCTTCTGCAAGAACAGTCAGTGTTCTTAACTGCTGAGCCATCTCTCCAGCCCCTATTTATTTTTTTAAAGATCTGTTGTTATTGCTTTTATGTGTATGTGTGTCTATCTGTGTATAGGTATATGCACTTAAGCACAGGTGCTAGTGGATTTGTAGGGGATTTGTAGGAGATGGAGTTACAGGAAGTTGTAAGCTGCCTAATGTAGGTGTTGGTAACCAAACTCAGGTCCTCTGCAAGAGCTGAGTCATCTTTCCAGCCCCTAGAATAGTGTTCTTAATCCTTGTGTTAGTGCAGCTTCTTATATTTTTGTTGTGTTTGTTTTCTGCAGGAATTGCTATCTTTTGCATGCTACTCACCTATTACATGTGGATCAAGGCAGTGAAGACTGGCTCCATCTATTGGGCAGCAAAGTGTGCCCTTGCTTATTTCTACATGGTAACTTTATTATTTTTTTTATTTTTTACTTTTTTTGTCTTTTTGAAGCAGGGTCTCCCTGTAAGCCCCAGCTGTCCTGGAACTCACTATGTAGACCTGGATGGCCTTGAATTCACAGAGATCCACCTGCCTCTGCCTCCCAAGTGCTGGGACTATAGGCGTGCACCACCACGCCCGACTACATGGTAACTTTATACACATGCACACACACATGCATATTCTTATATATACATATGCATGTATTCTTACTCTCAGTCTCGTCTCTTTCTTACTGTGGTGCAGGGGATTGAGTCCAGTGCTTCATGCTAGGCAATGGGTGTATCACTGAGTTACCTCTGCAGCCCCTCTACATGATTTTTGTTGTTGTTGTTGTTTTGGTCTTTTTGAGACAGGGTTTCCTTGTAGCCTCAGCTGGCCTGGAGCTCACTATGTAAACCAGGCTAGCCTTGAACTCATAGAGCTCCACCTGCCTCTTCTGGGATTGAAGGCATGTACCACCATGCCCAATTGCCTCTAGATGTTTTTAATTTAAAAAATTTTTCTTTTTTTGAGACATTGGTCTCATTATCCCAGGTTGGCATTCAATTCTTTGTATAGTTGAGAATGACCTTGAACATCCTTTTTTTAAGAAAATGATCTTTTATTTTTACTCTTAAAATTGTGAGTCTATATGGGTTTGTGCATGAGTGCATGTGCATGTAGACCAGAAGAGGGTGTAAGAGCCCCTGAAGTTGTAGTTACAGGTGGTTGTGAGCCATCTGAAGTGGATGTTGAGAACTGAACTGTAGACTTCTTGGAAGAACAGTATATGCTCTTAACCTCTGAACCATTTCTCCAGCCCTGGACTTTGAATTTCTGATCTTCTTGCCTCCAATTCCTAAGTGCTGAGATTATAGATGTATACCACTATGTCTTGTTTATGCAGTGCTAAGGATCAAACTCAGGGCTCTTCATGCATGCTAGGCAGGCATACTGCCAGCTGAGCTACATCCCCAGGCCTCTTTTTAAAAATCTGCTATAGTTTTTAAAATTTTGTATTACTATTTCCTATGGGTGCCTGTTGGTTGTCCCTTAAATTTTCCCTTTTCCAGTGTATTGACACTTTTTTAAACTGCTTCTACTTAATCACATTTTCCTTAGGTTCTCTGTGAGATATTAGAGTTGATTGCATCTAGAATAACCTTGGAGTATATCTTGTTAAATGATTGATGTCAATAACCATAGGGAGCAAGGGATTAATTTGACAGTAGTGGGTTTTTTTGTTTTTTTTTTTAATTTTTAAAAATTATTTATTTAATAACAACATACTTAGAAGAAGCATATCATTACAACACAATTGACATATTCAATAACGGTTTCCTGAGGTAGGATGCATCTCTTTCAAAATTGGCTGTAAATTTTTAGGTTTACAGTTGAATTATTACAGTTATACAATATTGTACTCAGTATAAACCCTATAAGACATAAATTAAATGATGTTTTAACCTTTAAAAAAGATCTCCATTTCATTATTAAAATGGGTTTTTTTTTTTAAACATTTTTAATTATGCTGGGTGTGGTGTCACACTCATTTAATCCCGGCACTCAGAGATAGACAGCTATCTGTGAGCCTGTTCTACATAGTGATTTCTAGGCCAGCGAGGGCTATATAGTTAGTGAGAGCCTGTCAAAAAATTGTGTGTGTGTGTGTGTGTGTATTTAAATTTTATTTTCAACAAACATTTCTTTAGTTTTTGGTGTTTTCTTTTTTGTCAAAGGAGTGAAATAGTTCGAGACTTCAACACCTGGTCCAGGTGACCATCCCATGGGTAGCCAGTGCTGTCTGCCTTGTGCACGGACAATGCCTTGCTATTCTGTCCCACTGATTGCAGTGCAATATCAGATTTCAGTATAAAATCCCTTTGTTACTAATCACCTGTTTCACTACATTTTTTATTTATTTGTATGGGTAGTGGGTGGTACATGTGTCATGGAGGTCAGAGAACAACTCTTAGGAGTCAATTCTTTCTTTCTACCATGTGTGTCCCCCAAATTGATCTCAAGTTGCTAACTTGGCAAGCATCTTTAACTGCTGGCCCCTTTAATACAAATTTTAAAAAATGTTTATTGTTT